CGGACTGTGTGGCGGCCGCGAAAGCTTATTTTGCGGATGGTTGCACAAAAATTTATATTTTGAAATATTTTTGATTGATGTCATTACAAAATTGAAAATATATAATTTTTTAAATATCAAAATGAAAACATGCTCATCGTGCATAAAATCTTGTATGCACCTCAGTCAAAAAAAGCTTTAACAGCAGCAGGTCTGTGAGTGACGTCACTACTATCAGCAGCTGATAGTGGAACAGCCCATACAAACGGCGAACGCCTATTATAAGTTGAGTTCGAAATGGGATTTTAGTGCAGTGCTAGTGCGGTGTTCGTGTAGTGCAGTGTTTTATCACGTGATGAAGGTGTAATCGGCGGTGTAACACCGAATACACCATCATTTTGTACCGAGTTCGGTGTCCCAACAACTTTAGAGCCGTTTTACACGGCAAAGTTTCTTCACGAAATTACTTACAAAATTGTTGCCGAAATATTTCGTAAGTCAACTTTTCCTGTTTTACACGACAAGAAAAACTTACGAAATATTTCACCAATAAACTTTCGAAAATGTTCTATAGTTTTTGTGGGCGCGGCCGAGAAAATGCGTGAGTTTCGGCGCACACAATTTCAAAATAAAAAGCGCGTTCTTTTTCTTCGAGCCTTATGAATCCGTCATTGGATTTCTTATGTAATAGATAAATATAGACTGTTTATCGGTGGGTTAAGCGGTGAAAAAAGTGTTGCGCCCAAAAAAAAAGGGTGGGATGGAGAAGACCAGCTGGGCAAAGCCAAAAGTCAACAAAACTTTATTTATGGAAGGGAAACAAAAATTCAACTTTATGAAACTGCAGAAGAGTACAAAGATTCAACAAAAATTAGAAAACGCAAGTTTTATTTGTTTTGGTTTACCAACGTATGAGGTTATAATTTCATATTATTGATGGCAAAACGTTACTGCGCCGGCGTATGACTAATATTTTCACGAAACTTTTGCTAAATTTTATTTGCTGTGTCAAACAGGTAGGAACAGGCCTGTAGCCAGGTTTTGATTCCAGAGGGGGCAACCAAACATTTAGAGGGGGCAAACAGATAGACGGATTTATAAACAAAAATATATGTTGGCAATATGTCCGATTCTTTCTATCCTGACCAAACTCCCCCACTACTAAAACGCCACATTTAGCCGTAGGAATATTTATTTTCTCTATCTCACGCAGGTATAAAGTCCTGCCTTTCAATTACACTTGGCAACACAGCACTAGAGTAAACCTGGCCTCCTGTTTGTCGTAGTAATATGTTCCGTTCTCGCCCAGAGTATCTTGTTGTCTCTATCTTATGCGATGATGGTTAGTATATGTTAAAAAAAGACCGATACAAAAGATAAGTTCGTGTTAGTCTGGAATACTTTTCGAATATCATCGTTTTGGTTTTGGAGCGGGACCAACAGTGGTCAGGTTCATGGCAGGGAACAGCTGTTGAGGCTGGACTTACATTGGGGCAAACTCATTTTAATATTCAGCATTACTTAAAATCACGACAAGATGCAAAAACTTTATTTTTAAAAGTACCTACATAATAACTGATTATAAAATATAAAACCTTAACAAAACACAAAGAAATAATAAAAATACATAAAAGCGCACTTGAAGGGGCGTTAATGACATTGAAATCTGTCAGTTCTATGTGGATTTTTTAAAATTCGTCTGCAAAGAGAAAGAACAACTCACATTAGAATTGGCATAAACGTTCTTTGATGGATTATCCACAATCCGAATATTTTAGTTTTTCAATAATTTGCGTTCTTCTCGAAATGGAAAGTGTATATCTAGGCTATGACTCTGTAACGAATAGAGATTTTTTCTCTATATCTATTGAGGTCCCCTCTCTATTGATTTCCAAAACAGAGAAGAAGATAGCAAGTGCCATAGCGATAGGGATAACGTTCTCTATTCATTAAAAAGTCGCAGCCCTCTGCCTATAGTCGTTATGGATTATTTCTAAAATCTCGCAAAATATCGAAAAACCGAAATATTCGGATTGTAGATAATCGATCAAAGAATGTTTACGCCAATTTTGAGCCAATTCTGATGTGAGGTTTTATTTCTTTTTGCAGAGCAGACGAATTTTAAAAAATCAACCAATCAGAGCACAGCACTGACAGATTTCAAATGTCATTAATGCCACCCACCTTAAGGTCAAATATGAACTAAACGAACTAAACTGTGGTTTTATAAACGAAAAACGATCGTAGCAAATAGGCGTAAGATTCTTTCAAATAATTGGTGTTTGTTTATGAAAGCATTGATAATATTATCCCGAAAAACAGAAATTAAATCACATAATTTGCTTTGCGATTTTATGTATTTTTTTTTTTCTATAAGTAGGTATATTTTTTTCCATACCTACTGGTAAAGTAGCCTTTAATCTACTAAAAATAGTAGATAAAGTAGTACTTTAACCGCAAGGGTAAATTAAATGATACTTCAACAGCAAGCATAGATAAAGACGATAAAATGCCATTATCGTCTCCCGGAATTAATAATAACTTTTCCGGTCAACGATAAACTACCGTTTTATTGTCTTGTATAAAAAATAACTATTTTTTCTATAGTCTACTAGAGTGGGCAACTTTTTCTTTCAGAGTGGGCATTGCCCACTCTGGCCCCCCTCTAGCTACGGGCCTGGGTAGTAGTTGGGGAGCTGGCGTCAAAAACATGCAAGAGTTTTCGCAAGGCGGATATTTTCAAAATAGGTCGTACTTTAGTGCTAGAATGCTAGTGTACAGTCAGCACTCACAGTTCCGGGACAGCTGGCTCTGGGACGCGGGCAAAGTTGTGATTTTAAGAAGCATCTAAACTGTTTTCTCAAAGCTCAAAATTTATAGAAATTTTGCAGATTATTTGTTTGAAGGTCACAGATTTTCTTCGGTGTCCTGTCAAAATATATTTTTGCAGGTATTTGACAAATATATTTGAAGAAAATGCCATAAAATAAAAACTTTGAGGACGTCTGACCCCCTTTTTGCAACGAACTAGACGTCTGACGAGTTACATACGTTATCTGTGACCTTCAAACAGATAATGTGCAAAATTTCTATAAATTTTGAGCTTTGAGAAAACAGTTTAGATGCTTCTTAAAATCACAACTTTGCCCGCGTCCCAGAGCCAGCTGTCCCGGAACTGTGAGTGCTGACTGTACACTAGCATTCTAGCACTAAAGTACGACCTATTTTGAAAATATCCGCCTTGCGAAAACTCTTGCATGTTTTTGGCGCCACCTCCTGGACTATAGGAATCGAAACAAGAATAGTAAACTTACGAAATATTTCGGCAATAATTTCGTGAAGAAACTTTGCCGTGTAAAACGGCTCTTACACCATTCGGACACCAAATTATTTCCAAACGTAAACAAAGTGTAAATCAAGCTAACTCCTGATGATAAACGAACGCCACAGTGTCAATGGTGTAAAAAGTGTCGACACTTTTGACCATTCCGAACTCACCTCTAGAAACATCTGCTCTAATGGCGTTTTCCATTTGTCGTCTCAGTGCAGCGATCAGTCCGCACGATAATTTTTCTAGTGCTGTCAAAAACGCGCACCAGTGCAGTATAAATGGAAAACAAAATGCAGACTCGGCTCGGATTCTGGGGTTATGTAAAATCATATGTTGGTTTGTTGTTTTTGTTTAGCACTTGACGGTTTCTGGTTTCCTGCTCTGCATGTTTTTAGTATAGGCTGTTCATTTGTACTTGCTACCTACTCGCAAAATCAGGTGGATCTGCTAGGAGCTGCTATTTATGAGCTTATTATATGGGAGTTATGGGACAAGGGAACGCCGATCAGCTGATGAGATCTGCTTGAAACAAGAAAAGCAGTACAAAGTACAAATGAACAGCCTAATTGTAATATTAATAAGTTGTCGTTCTATGGTTCTAGGGTTAACTACAAAAACTATTTAAAAAATTGATGTATTTGAAATGAATTTTAGAGTTAATGAAGAAGAAGTCATACAAAATAAATATTTAGTTGGATGGTCCAGATCATTTATTTAAAGTAAAAGCTTCTTCTAGTTCTTCTCCGCGGTTTCACCCGCCGTTAAATTTAGAAAAAATTGACTATCTATATAAATAATTTAAAGTACTTCGCATCAGACAATATTTTTAAACAACAATAATAATAGGTATATCTAAAAACAACGTGGATAAGCTGCGGAATTCGTTCAAATAATATAATTTCGTCATAGAATTTAACTTCGCTGCTGCTACCATATCAAATCCAAAAGTGCAACAACTTTTTCTTTGGTAATTAGCAGACATTTTTATGTACGGTACATGTAAACAAAAACGAAACAAACTGCACTGGCTTTCCACGAGCTTTCCTAGCTCGTGCCAAAAAATGCGCACTGAGTGCATAAATAATTGCACTGAATTTCAAATGGAAAATGAAAACTGAAAATGTGCAGTTAAATGGAATATAAAAATTGCACTGAGTGCACCTCCGTGCAACAAACGTCATAAGCCTAGAGACTACCTGAACAATGACCGGAACAAACCAAATTTTGACAGTTCCTGTTGTTAAGTTCTGCAACCAACAAAACATGAAAAGTCGTTATTTGTTTACGTTTGCATTAATACACATTACACTTTTTCAATTGTTTTGACTGGCCCCAAGCCCAAGCCTTTCGACCCAACAATGGTTAATGACCACACCCTACATTGAAATTGAAAATTAAATTATTTTGGTGATTTGGTGGGAAGCTGGTAAAGGCAGGTGAGTTTTCATGTTTTTTTCTTTTTCCTATCTACTTACTCATTTCTTTTTTTCACTTTGTACTTTATAAGGAGTTTCTGGGAATCAGAATAGCTCTGGAAATTGCCATTTTTAATACTCACAAAGTTTTTTCAAATTGCATTACCTACATACTTTGATGCTATTTATATTGTTCTAAAACAGGCATTCTCTATACTTTATCATTCACTTGTGATGTTTTTAATGTTATCGTCTAGGTTGTTATGTCTTCTTCAATTTTCAGTTTTTTTTCTATGCCCAGCCGCAATTGAAATGTCTTCAGGTTACAACCCGTATCCAAACCAATTTAACCAGCAAGGTCAATTCCAGCCAGGACCTCCTTCAACGTATGACAATTTTTACCAAAATCAATACAATCAGCCCCCACAGTATCCACAGGCTGACCTTAGCGAATATATTCCAAAACACGAAAACGTTGGGGATTTTTCCCACTTTTACGTTGCCATTACAATCTGTACTATTATTGGATTGTCTTTGTTTATTTTGAATATATTTCTTGGGTGTTGCTCTAACTATTCTGAGTATTGGAAAGATAGGCATACTGGTATGTTTTATTATTTTTAATTAATAATAATACTCTGGATTTGAATTCATTATCTTTCATGTAGGAAATCGTTGGATAATCTCTCTGTGGACTGCAACTCCTCACAAACAACCAGCTCTCGATTACTCAACAGAACTTCAAGAAATATCCTCACAAAACCAAATAGTCTACCATCATCCCCACGAAGAGGAACATCCAGAAGCTTCAGAGTTTTTAGAATTGACAACTAAAAGAGAGAGTGAAATTTAAGCAAACAAAATGTTCCACGTGTATTGGCCAATGACAGCCTTTGTCACATTGGTTTTTGTAGTGGGGACCATTATGGCCATGTTGAAATGGGGACCCAAGTGGTGCAAACTCAGGCACACTACTTTGCCAGAAAATGAAAACTGGCGTCATGGAGCTTATGAACAACAAATTTAGTAATCTCATTATCTTTGATGAAAATGGGTGCCTTATGGGTAAAAAAATGTATCTTTTAATTTTTTAGGCAGCTTTGCATGTTAAGATTTTAGTAATTATATTTTTTAATGATTCACGCACATGACAAAACAATTTGCTTATTTTTAATGTTGTATTCCGTCCATTTTACACATTCTTATGTAACTTTTTTTAAATAATATACATTATTTTTAAAAATGCTTTTTTATTACTTTCCCTTACATATCATTAATGATGTTCTCTTGTTTTACTGTAGTTGTTGAAACGTTGAATAGAAGTTTATTTTTTCAATTTAATACACCTAATTTTGATTATAGCAATCTGCATTATGGCAGAATATCCATGATTTGAAATTCAAAGAGTAAAATTTAAAGACATTTCCTTTCTATATAAACATACAAACTTTTTTTTTACAATAATAAAAATACAAGAAATATACAATGGGCAAAAAATCCACAATTGAAAATAAATGCAACTCAAAAAAATATTACTTATGGCATCATAAGAACAATTCTAACATCTTCATACTGACATTTCTCACTGTATTTTTTCTTCTACATTAAACTATCCTACTTTTAGCAAAGACAGATATAGAGCCTGTTGACAAAGAAACTACCTGTAATAAATAGTCCAGACTGCCTTATGCACACTATACTAATTCAACTAACAATACTATTTTTTTTTAAAATCTGAAACAATAAAAGTAAATTCTCTTAATCAAGAAGGGTCCAAAATACACTTTTTTACATGAGGTGTTGGCTATTGTGATATCGGGTCTTCAAAAAAAAAACCAATCAAAGATTGCTATGGTTTTAAACGTATGTCTTAGCAATATTCTCCTTCAATTTTGTCAATGAACTTTAATGTCAAAATGTCATGTCAAAAATCCTGACCAATAAACAAACAATAATTCGACGTACATTTTCGGAATCAAAGCAATCTTCGATTGGTTTTTTTTTTGAAGACCCGATATATTACAATGGAAAATAAAAGTATGAGATACAAGTAAGATTTTCAAAGGAGTGTATTTTGGCTTGCTGAACTTAATTAGGAAATTACTCAATAAGGTTGTTCCCATTTTTTGTGTAGCCCCAGTTTAAGATCAACAATATGGACATGGACAGCTTGGAATTTCTCTAACTTAGGAGGCACTGGACATAATTGGTATTTTACTCTGTCACCAGGAATTGGGATGTATTCATCTTCGATGCTAGAAAATTAAGAAAATGTTATAAGAAAAATACAATATTGGATTGATCTAGGTGGCAACAAAGTATTTATAAAATGCCATTTTTTTTTGAAAATGTATAGAAATAGAATTTTATATTGGAATTCCAAAATAAGTGATTCACCAACAAATTGTTCACCTAAACAGTTAAATTACACTTTCTAAAAATATCACATCTGAAAAAGTAAACAGACAGAGATTACCAAAATAAAAATTTTTCTTGTGCATTTTTATGTTGTAAACATTTCAGGCCCAAGGCTCTAATTAATAGTGAAATAAACCAAATTTGTTCCACTTACTCGGAGATGTGGACAAATATGTCTACGCCGCCATCCTCTGGTACAATAAAACCATGACCTTTTTCTCTGCAAAACAACTTTATCGTGCCATAGAAGGTCTTCGATTTTATTATTTTTTCACAGCTAAAATAAATTTGTTATAAAAAATGAAAAAGTAGGTGTAAATAACCGATTACCAATGTTGTGCAAAAAAAAAACTTACGTGGATGCTGTTCGAGTTCTTCTTGTAATCAAAGGGCTGGGGATCAAGTGGATATGGTCGCCTTCCGACATGATGCCGGCTTTTCAATTTTGTCTTGTTTAAATTTTTAAATAACAAATTTTCTTGTATGGGACGGGACCTACAAACATGGAACTGGATAAATGCGAAGGCGAAAAACTATCAACTGTCGTCTCGCAAAAGGCGTTTTCAATTTGATTGAATCAGCTTGACCTGCTCCCTACTCCAAGCAGATCGTCCTATTCTTGAAACAGGGAAGTGGGAGCATGGGTAAAATTTAAAATCATTCTCATGAGAACAGCTTCTAGTGAAAAATACTTCAAGCAATCGGAGATACTTCAGGAGAATTTATTGAGTAAGGTCTTTTGAGGGACTTCAAACTCTCAGGATTTATTGAGAGGGTCTTTTTATCAAACAAAACAAACCGCGAATCGATCTTAGACTAGAAATGGAATTATGAATTTTTTTCTCACTTAAATGCAGAAAAATCTTGTAAAATTTCTATTAAATGCATCTTTGAAAGCTTTTGAAAAATACTTCAAGCAATTAGAAAGATTTCAAACTTTCAGGATTTATTGAGTGGGTTTTTTTTTATCAAACAAAACAAAGCGCAAGTGGATCTCAACAGGCTCAGAAATGGAATTATGATTTTTTTCTCACTCCAATACAGAGAAAAACATGAAAAATTTCTACCAAATCACCTGTGAAAGCTTCTGAAAAATACTTCAAGCAATCAGAGAGACTTCCAACTTTCAGGACTTATCGAGTAGGGTCTTTCTATCAAACAAAACAAACCGCGCATTGATCTCCAGGTTCCGAAATGGAATTATGAATTTTTTCTCACTTAAATGCAGAAAAATCTTGTAAAATTTCTATTAAATGCACCTTTGAAAAATTCTGAAAAACACTTCAAGCTATCAGGGGGATTTCAAACGTTCAAGATTTATTGATTAGGGTCTTTTCATCAAAAAAAAAAAACAAATCGCAAGTTATTCTCAGGATCAGTAATGGAATTATGAATTTTTTCTCACTTTGATGCAAAAAAAAAACATGTAAAATTTCTTTTAAATCACATTTAGAAAGCTTCTGAAAAATACTTCAAGCAATCATCAGAGGGTCCTCCAACTGTCAGGATATATTGAGTAGGGTCTTTTCATCAAAAGAATCAAACTGCGAATGGATCTCAGACTCAGAAATGGAACTCTGTATTTTTTCTCACTTAGTTGCAAAAAAATCTTGTGAAATTTCTATCAAATCACGTTAAAAGCTTCCGAAAAATACATTAAGCAATCGAGCAGGAACTTTCAACTTTCAGAATTTACTGAGTAGGGTCTTTTTATCAAACAAAACAAAAGGCAAGTAGATCTCAGACTCAGAAATGGAATAATTATGAATTTTTTCTCACTTAAATACAGAAAAATCTATTAATGCACCTGTGAAAGCTTCTGAAAAATACTTCAAGCAATCAGAGGGACTTCCAACTTCCAGGATTTATTGAGTAGGGCCTTTTTATGAAACAAAACAAACCGCAAATGGATCTTAGACTCAGAAATGGAGTTATGGATTTTGTTAATACTTACTTACTATGGTAATGGCAAAGACTAGTTTTAAGCATGCTTTACACAAAGGTGGGCACAGTTAATCGAAAAGTTAACTTCGTTAATCGTTAATTCGCTACTTGTAAAGTTAACTTCGATAATCGTTAATCGTTAAATTTTTGAGAATATAACGCAAGTTAAAGTTATCCGTTAAGAGTTAATCGTCGAAAAGTTATACTGATGTTTGAAGCTAATTATAAGTAATATAGATAATTGAAATAGAATGGGCTGGGCTAGGGTATAGTATTTCTAATACCTATTTGGAAGTACCAGTCCTTTTAGTGATTTATGATTGGTTGGTAATTTCTTGTTTCTTCTGATTGATGATTGATGAACAAGGATGGTGTTATTCCAAATGGGTATTAAAAATACTATACCTACACTCCTACACAGGTGAATGTGAATAAAGCAAAAAGTATCTAGATCTAAAAAGCGGCACTATTTCCAATTTAGGTAGCTGATTTATTTACGCATTCACCTCTGCAAGAAAAAGGAGCTTAGAGAACAATGCAGACAACGCCACAGCACAATGATAGATACGCGCCTCACCTCACGGCCTACCTAACACCAGAACTAAGGGCTTGCGCATCGATCTCACTGTACGGAATCGGGTTTAGAGTCATTCCAGAACAGTTCAATTTCCAATCTGCGTAGTATAGCGAACTGAAATCTTTCTACACCTGTGCAAACTGTCCCGATTGACCTTGACGCGCAATTTAAGCAAACAAAATGACGTCATTTACGAACGTAACGGACTAAAGTTAACGGAAGTCCAATGTAACGGAAGTTAAGAAAACCGTTAATATTTTTTAGGTTAACTTAAAAGTTAAATTTAAGCAATTTTTTTAACTTCGTTAATTAACGAATAACGGATTAACGGTTTTCTGCCCAGCTTTGGCTTTACATAAGCCTGCCATAAGTGCCATACGTCCCGTATTATACGGGACAGTCCCTTATTTCAAGGTCCATGTCCCGCGTCCCAAAATTTGTTGTCGGGACGCGTAAATGTCCCGTATTTTCTGATATTTTAGAAAGCGTAAAATAATTCGATTTTTGCGTCTCATTCCTAGTCTCTGCGGTAGCATTGATAAACCGATTTTTGCGCCTCATCTCTAGTCTCAGCAAATCGCAACATGCACAGCCCCCTACATTTAACAAGCCATGAAGTTAAAAAGGCAACACCGCAATCTTACCGCCAAGTGGTGCTGGTGGTGTTTGTTTGTATAAATATATATTTTTTATTTTATTAATATGAATCACAAAAAATACATAATTTATTGTACTAAAGGGCCAAAAACAGTAATTCAATGAATAATTTAACTATTTGTGTAAATAAGAACAGTAAATAATTGATTTAAATGAATATATTTCTAGAGTCTAAAGTGTTATAGGCCTATGTTTCAGTATGTCTTTTGAAAATCTAACTTTTTCTTTCTTCGGGATTTTTTCGGAAGGCAAGTCCATTCAAATACTTGAGCTGATTTTCGAAAATAAGAGGTACCTACTTTTAAGAATTGGACGTTTTAGTTTGATCTCTCGAACTACGCCTTTATCCTTGTTTGTTTCAAATCTAATTATTTCGGTTTCTTAAAAATGTTTACAACACACCACAGAATTTTTCGTTATTGTACAATCTTGGGTATAATTATCTTGGTGTATTGCTTTCATCCACATTTTTTGCACTTCAGAATTTTTTTGGAAATAAAAATGTTTGCCTTTCTTCAGTTTTTAAGGAGCTCCTAATAGTTCGATTTGCACCCAGGAACACAGTAGTTTCATGGCATCTGGAACAAGTTTAAATATCTTAGGTAATATATCGAGACCTATGCTCTTGCAGACAAATATTAATATTGTTTTTATTGTTTTACCTTACCTTACCTTCATTTTTGCTCCTGTACCCATTTGCTAAAAATTTGCAATCAAAGCACAAAGGAACAGGTATCAACTAAATATGGGCAATATATTGGTGTGTTTCTATCCACTTTTTCGTCAATAATGCCCATGAAAATACTAAATTGCAACAATACACAATGAAAGCAATACACAGAAACACATAACCCAATAACAAAATAGCACCATACGCGACGTTGCCGTCATTTCCAATTTCATGGCTTGTTAACTATAGGAGGCTGTGCAACATGCGATTGGTTATTCAAAATTCAAAAGCATTTGACAGTTTAAAATTTGGCGGATTCAGCCCAAAGATATTACAATGGATCAAGGTTGTTTAAAAAGAGGGAGGTTGCCTGATAACTTTTATGAGGTCATCCGTATGCCTCAACATAATGCAAAACTCCATAAGGCTCCCCAGATGCGTCATCAAGTTACCCGTTACCAGACAACTTATTAACTAACAATGGCTAATATAGGTTTTTTACGTTATATTTAGGATGACGTCAGAGAACAAGGAATGACAATGTTGTCAATGCCTATTTGTTTTCTTATAATTTACCAGAATGTCATAATGAATTATCAAAACCACTGACAGCTAAAAATAACGAAATGAATCGACACGAGTTATTTATTTGAAAATGTTCAGTTAAATCATGCAACATCGCACGCCGTTGCCAACCAGAAACATCTGAAATTCCCCTACTTTAAATGCGTTAGGAAGTACTTTTAGTTTTGTCAGATTTGCAGCAGAAATTTACTAAATGTGACGTCATCCTAAATATAGCGTGAAAATCCTATAATCGCCGCCATATTGGTGTGTCACCATATCCGACGTCAGACGTCATTAACGAAGTCCGAAAGTCGTCAGCTATTTGCACTAGCGGTCGTAGTTTAGAATTTAATGTTAATTAATGTAGTAAAACGAAGTATGCATAAAGCAAAAGCCCACGGAATCATAACCTGTGGTGCAAACAGCCTACGTCAAGGTGAGAAACGAATGATTTGCCGTGGTGGGGGGCTTCAGATTTGTTTCACACAGGCCTTACGAGGATAGACTATCCTGTAGTAGTAGTGTGTATTTTCCTTGGTGTTATCCTTGGGTTTGGCCTACGGAGTTTTCCTGGATTCTTGTGTTTTTTGAGTGCCGAAGTAGATAGCTATTTGATAAAGATGAACAATAAAATTGGGCGTGGTCCTCAAAAAAAATTCGACCGCTGCGCAATTTTTTTTATAAATACATTAGACATCTCCTTCTCAAGAATGTCCCGTTTTTGTATCAGAATAATATGGTAGGCTTAGCTTTACATCTGTGTATTTCTCCTGTATTTATAGAGATTTCTATATAAGAAATAAACAAATGTGATAAATGTAAAATCCGCCTAATGCAAGTTTTAAACACAAATTAATTAACATTTTTTTTCTGGCCATTTTGATGGTACCCTCCACAACAAAGTGCAATTTTTACGACGCATTTTGGCAATAATTTTATTTCAAAAAATCGCATGCCTGTAAAACCAAATTTCGCTTGCATATATATGTAGGTACCTACGGGGTTTTTCCTTAGACCGGTTTTTCCGTATATTTTTGCACCCCACCTGCAGCCTTAACCTTTACAGGTAGATATAGGTGTGAATACGAAAGTTGCAGTTTTAGGTAAATTTTTAAAATCCCATCGTCAGAAATAAAAA